GCCTAAGACAAAAACAACAATGTACAAATCCTCCAGTTGGACTGCCCACACACTACTCTGCTGGCTGCTTTGCTCTCCTGGAAAAACAGAACAAAATAACGGCTGTTCTGCATCATGTTCCCTTTTCCTCCAATTTAAAGCCACGCCCTCTAGTGATGATGTGGGTGGTATAAAACAACCTGGCCCTGCCCACACAGCTCCAGGCTCCATCTCTCTCCTAGCAACTGTGATGAAATTAACTCTGTCCTAGCCAAAATTAGGATAAGTGTGAAATTAAGATTATAAAATAAGGATGAAGAATTAAAGATCAGAAGTTTGCATGTGCCCACTTTGCTACACACATTTGTCCTGACAGATTAACCAGGAGGTGCTAGCCAGATTGGGCCTCTGCCGGGCCTAGAATTAGCACCTTCCTGTCGCAAATTCTTCCCTTTTGTCCCTGACCTCAAGCTTCCACTGTGATGCCTTATCTTGCAGCCAAGTACCTTCTGTGGCCTTGACAGTTTGAGACAGGAAACTGTGCTCTTTAAGTCCTTACATCACCCTGTGGCTCAAATACTGTCCTCCAGGGACTTTGTTCCTCAACTTACGGGTTAGCCACATGGGCAATGTGTATGAAGCATAATGGGAGAAAAGACAGAAGCAGTAACATGAGCAATCATACAATGTACAATAGCTATCCCGATCATTAAAAATGCAAATCCAATTGCAATCATCAACCCAAGTCTCATTAGCCACTTCCTCCACCCTCTGAGTCCCAAGGATCAGAGAGTACTGACATCCTCCAGGAATTGGGGCTAACTCCTAGAAGACTGTCTTGGGCTTGGAGTGATTGGTAGCAATCTCTTTAATTCTGCCTTGGGCTTCTTCAGTCAATGCCACTGCATTGTGAAAAGTGATACAACATTCAGTTTTATTAAGATATAACATTCCACATACACCCTGTCCCTTTAATAACAACACATCTAAAGCCCTTTCTGACACATTTTTGGACTTGCAAGTTAAGGTCTCTAAACACATACCTGATCCAGTTACTGCAGATATGTACCTTCAACATAAAAAGCTCTCATGCAAAATACAAAAAAAGCTCTCATACAAAAGTTTCTCATGCAAACATATCAGTCCACTGGGCCCATACTCTGTTTCTCCAGGGGACAGAATACAGCTCTGGAGAGGGGAGGAGGAAGATAGAGAGAGGGATCCATTGGTATCCCATGGGTCCTTCTTCACCCTGGGCTTCTTGGTGGTCAGCATCCCGAAGTTATTCTTCCAGGGGTACCACCTGTAGAGTCCAAGCTGCACATACCCATGGCAGCACACGCCCTTAACTTGGAGAGATCTGTGTTTGACCAATGATAACTGTATGAGTAGTTGATTCCTTTCACACACTTTGCTACAGTAGGAGTCTTTGTCTGGATGCATTAACCAGGATGTACTAACCAGATTTTTCTTCTTCCAGGCCTAGAATTAGCATCTTCCAGTCAAAATCTCCTCCCTATTCTGCTACCTAAAATTGCTGTTGTACAAGCTTACCTTATGGCAAATTTCTTCTGAGGCCTGGACAGGCAACGGTGCTCTTTAAGTTCTTACATTTGGGTTGTCTCAGAACCATTTTGTACATTAAAAGTTACCTAAAATCATGACTTAGGATTCTTTTAAGAAAGTAAGGGCTGTTAAATGAGAGTAGAAACCAGTAGAGTGTTTTTGATCAAGTAACACATAAAGAGCCTTGCTTCACAACATCTATGTTAAAACCATGAAAAAGTTTTCTCCTGATCTTATTTCAGCACACTCTACGCTAAGAACACTTTAAATAAAACACAGCCCACAATCAAACCTCTGATCTGAAAAAGACACTGCTGTTGCCCAAGCTGTTGAAACTCCAAGATAGCAATGTTTTGATTTTAGATTTCTTATTTCAGAGCAATAAAAAAAAATTGCTCAAAGAATAGAAAACTTGAATACAAAACAAAGCAGCAGTATACAATACAGTGCATCCTGAAAACAACCTAAAATACTTGAACTTCATCTAAAGATTACATTGGAGGAAAATACAATTTAGAGATCCTAGATTCCTATAAACAGCAAAACTTAAGCTTTTGCCTACAGACCCTGCTTGATAAGTTAAAGAAGGCTTCTAAATTACTTTTACATTTGTAAAGACTTGTTCTACAGAATTCAAAGAAATTTTTCTGTTTCTCCAAATCATGTAAATCAGTATTAGCACATTTCCTAGTAGAATATTTTAAACTTGCCATGATGCATTGCTATTTAATAAGAGTTCAACAACTAATAAAGGCAAAATTGAGCAACCCTTACACTTGCTTCATTCTAATTGCATTGCTTTTCTTTATAAAAGCACAACTCATTATTTCCATGTTCATTAGAGCTCTGCTCTTCTCATATTGAACAACATTTCAAGTATTTGCACAATGCCGATTTAAGAGATGAGATAAGCCTTAACAGGCACACAACAGCAGTGGTTAGTGATACCACATATGCACATTCATATACTTCTATTGAGGATATCAGGCTAACAAGTTTGTGCCACCAGCAGCACCTAGGCTTGCTTGGCTGCCCACATTTACCACACAGTACCCTTGGTTACCCTTCCAGACTGGCAGGGTCTCTTTACCTCTCAAAACCACTTGTCACTCTGTAGTTTCTAGAGCTATCTGCCATTCTGGAATACTGAACTAAAGTAAATCAAGAATTCTCTCATTTCTTTTAAAATACCTTACTTCTCAACCACTGCCTTACACTCTTTCTGCTTTATCCCTCTCCCTGACTTCAGCCTTTGGTCTTTCTTGCATTTAAGTCATTCTATCATTGTTTCACAGAAAAAGTCCTTCAGTCATTTGACCATGATCAGTTCAATTAGTTGCTCAACTTTTTTTACATAGTTCCTCATACCAACAATCTTGAGATCACTGCAGCAATTTTTTCTGTCCTTGGCTGTTTGCAAAACCAACCAAGACTAACAGTACACGCTTTTCCGTGGTCTCTGGTTTCTCACTGAGGGCTACTTGTCACAAATAAAACTTATAGCCATCACCTCTGAAAAGCTCTGCATTTCAGTCAACATCAGAACCATTAAAAAAACATAAAGCAGACAGTGGAACACAAACCAGAACAGTCTTAGTGCTTGTCTTCAACAGCACAACAAGTAACACTACAAATTACAGTTGCAATCCTATCCAGCCCATACTATGCTGGATAAAAAAAATGGGGAATTATGAAGCTCTATTGCAGTGGGTCTTTGGTTAAGTATGCATAAATAAGAATTGTTCAATGCTTATTTATTTCAAGTTGAAGTAATCCATTAGCAGTTCTGTAACATCCTTCACTTAAAAAAACCCCTATGTCCTTAACAAAGATATACTCTTTATACTTATCAATTTCACACCTTTGATACAAAGTCTGGAATACTTAATCAAGAACAATAGTTTCTTTCTGAAGGAAAAAAAAAAAATCACTGTTTTTCCTAACTGTATCACCATAAAGAAACTTAAGAAATTTTGATTGAAGCTTCATTATAAGTTTTCTTTAAAGATTTTGAAGCATACATCCAGAGTAAGAAGTACTAATGACAAGAAGTCAAAAGGAACTGCAAGTAAGCAGTACCACAAAATTCTTTAATACCTTCTTAGACGCACTGCCCAAATACTCTCATCTTACTAGTAAAAAAAAAAATAAAAGAAAGCCATTTTAATCCCTCAATTTACACCATATTCTGAACAGCTACACACTGCTCTTTTCACCCTTTTGTTAGTAGACTGATGTCTACAGTCTTAGAACCAATGATCCCTTTTCTGCCTTCTACTCAACGATGCCTGATTTATAATTAATTAGGCCATCCAAATTAATAAAAGGGCTATATCAAATATTCAGTCCATCAGCTAATAATGAAAAAAATCCCACAGAATCATTAAGGTCAGAAAAGACCTCCAAAATGAACTGTCCTTTGACAGAACATCATCTTGTTTGTCAACTCGACCACAGCACTAAGCACTACATCCAGTCATTTCTTTCATACTTCCCTGGGCAGCCTGTGACTATACTTTCAAAAAAATTTGTAGCTCCTAGCTCACAAACACTCATCATAGTGAAGAACCAAATCAAACATGCTTGTAAAAAAAATGGTATCTGACAAATCATGACATAGATAATTTTCAGTTGTATATCCAAAAGTTTTAGCCAGTCAACAGCAACACACAGGGCACACATAGACCCGTAGACTGCAACTTCCTAAAGTCTAAAAGAGAAAATGTTTTTAAAATATATTTGAAGAATTATTTAAGCTGTTCTATTGCTTTCGTACTTTATATGAAAACAGTATTTTCCATTATAGTACGTAAAACTCAACAGATCACACATTTGATCTTATATTACTAGGCACAACTTTCAGAACAAAAGAAGCAGTACAGGACTTAAAAGCATTTTTCAAATTTTCTTGCAGTTTAAAGTAAATAATTTTACCAAAATCCGGAAACCAACCGAAATTAAGAGGCAAAGCCCTACTAAACATTTCAGTATGCCTAACTTCACAGCCTTTCTTCCTTGATGAGTTAACAAGCAACTAAAATAGTTGTGGTTTTCATAACCATTCATTATCTATCAGGAATACAGCTAATTAAAACTAATACTGGTCAGAAGGCAATGCAAGCACATCCATCCATGCAGTGTACAGCAAGAGAAAGAAATGCACACTGGTTAATTCAAGTGATCTCTTCATCCAATGGCTTTAGAAGATACATTTTTTTGGGGTTAGAGTTTTTGTATCTACTATAGCTGAGCCCAAAATGCAATTATCACATGTGAAAAATGATGCACTTTGCATACATTAAGCAATAGACAGTCTGAAGATACACAGAATTTGTAAGATAACCAATATTTCTAGATAAAGAGTACAAAGTTATTTCGCTCTTAAAGCCAGCAGAAGAAAGAAAGAGGATTATGACCTTTAGATCTACAGATCCATTCGTTTCCTATGTACACAGGTATTGACGATTGAGAGAGAGATGGGGACTACTGATTAGTGATCAGAATCCTAATTTACTGTGAGCTACATATGCTTATATACCATTCTCAGGAAGACTAATAATTTTTCACTACATTCATTGGGTTAAACATCACACAGACAAACTTTACATTTCCACTTAGTTCAAGCTTCTTTCCTGTTGCCAGTCTTGATCCAATCTTCTTGTAATCTTCAAAGCTCTGTTCTTGGCTCTTGCCAAGTCATCTTGGTTATCAAACTGCAAATACTAATTAAATCCACAGTACTCTCTGTCTTAGCTTCCACACAGAGGGGATAGTCTCCCTTTTACAGAAAGCAATCCTGTAAAGTTCTTCTGACTTGCTTACTACTCATTGTTTTACTGAAATATAGTTACATATCTATACCACGACTACTAACTACACAGGAGTTTCTTTACTGGTTTTTTTGCAGCTAAAGAAGTTTTCAGAGCAGAAACAGTTGTCCTTCTTATGTTTTTTATTTCCAAGAGTATCTTTTATTCCACTCAAACTAAACTTTTTCTACTCTGTAGAGCATGTAATCTGAGACCATAAAACCTACTGATACTAGAAATGCTTCAGGCATTTTCAGTATCATTTCAGAGGCCAAATATTCAAGCTCTGAATAATGCACTGCACATTTGGCCCAATTTTCCAGCAACTCAGAATCTTCTTGATGTTTTTCTATATTATTAAGATCTGAAGATTTAGCAAATGTCCCTGCTCTAAGAGAAAGATTTGGCTGAAAAGAAACCTGACTTCTCTTCCTGTAATTTCCCAGGACACTGGCTATTAAATTACAACTTCCCTGACAAGTCGGTGAATTTTATTTCCTCTATTACACTCTATACTGGGTTTGGCTGGGATAGAGTTAATTTTCTTCACAGTGACTGGTATGGGGCTGTGTTTTCGATTTCTGCTGAACACAGGGTTGATAATACAGCAATGGTTTTGTTAATGTTGAGCAAGCTTACACATGGCCAGGGCCTTTTATGTTTTTTTACTGCCATGTTGTTAAGGGGACTAGGGGTACGTTGGAGGTTGGGATGGGACAGAGCTAGGACAGGTGATCTCAAACAACCAAGAGGATATTCCATTCCCTGTGACATCATGCTCAGGATGTAAAGGTGAGGGGAAGAAGAGTTAGGGGACATTTGGATTGGTATCATTTGTTTTTCCAGGTAACTATTGTGTGTGATGGGGCCCTCTCTCCTGCCCATCAAAAACAGTAATTAATTCCCTGTTTTGCTTTGCTTGTTTGCATGGTTTTTGCTTTCCCTAAAAAACTACCTTTCGCTCAAGCCACGAGTTTCTGACTTTAACTTTTTCACTTCTCTCCCTGACCCTGTTGGTGTGGGAGTGAGCAAGTGGCTGCAAGGGCTTGGTTGCCAGCTGGGTTTAACCATAACACAAGCCTTAGAACACTTAGTTCTACTAACATGCAGATAAGTCCAGTGAAGTAATACAGGAAAATAATCCCGGCCCTCAAAGCAAGATGAAATTTATCCCACCACAATGAATTCATCACTTCACAATATCCAGTTTTCTTCAACATCTTCATTGATGGCTTAAGAAAAACATTATATTGGCTTTTCTGGATAACAGTACAGGATCATTTTCACCTCAATAGCAGACAATAGCCAAGTGGAAAATCGTGACTGACAGATCTTTGAAAGTGTTCAAGGCCAGGCTGTATGATGCTTTGAGCATATTGGTCTAGTGGAAGGTGTCTCTGTCCATGGCACGAGGGTAGGAACAATGATTTTAAGGTCCCTTCAAATTCTGTGATTAAGATCCATATAGCCTCATACCATAAAAAATCCTGCTATGGCAAAAAGATCCTAACTAACCCCCCTTTAAACTAACTACATTGAATTCAAGGTTTTATCCTCAGCTCAGTTCTCTTCAACATCTTCATTAAAGACTTGGATATATGACTCAAATGGGTACTAAAGTTTGACAAGGACACTAAATTAGGCGGAGATGTTGATTCTCTCGAGGACTGAGAGATATCTTGACAAATTAGAGAGGCAAGTGATCACCAACCCTATAAAGTTTAATAAGGGCAAATGCTGACTTCTGCACCTGGGGCAACCCTGGACATGTGTACAGACTGAGGAACAAGAGGCTGGAGAGCAGCACTATGGAAAGGGACCTGGGGGCCCTGGTCAAAAGGAAGCTGCACATGAGTCAGCAGTGCCCTGGCAGCCAGGAGGGCCAACCGTGTCCTGGGGGGAAATCAGGCACAGCACCACAACCAGGCAAGGGAGGGGATTGTCTTGCTCTGCACTGCACTGGCTCAGCCTCACCTCGAGTGCTGTGTGTAGTTTTGGGTGCCACAGTATTAAAAACAGACATTAAGCTATTAGAGAGCATCCAAAAGAGAGCCACAAGGATGGTGAAGGGTCTGGAAGGGACACCTTATGATGAGTGGATGAGGTCACTTGGTCTGTTCAGCCTGGAGGAGACTGAGGCGAGACCTCATTGCAGTCTACATCTGTCTCATGAGGGAAAGCAGAGGGGAAGCTACCAACCTCTTCACTCTCATGACCAGTGACAGACCTCGAGGAAACGGCATGAAGCTGTCACGGGAGGCTTAGTTGCGTATTAGGAAAAGGTTTTTCACCCTGAGGGTGTTTGGGCACTGGAACAGATAGCCCAAGGAAGGGCTCACAGCATCAAGTCTGTCTAGTTCAAGAAGCATTTGGACAACTCTCTCAGGCAGGCACATGATGTGATTCTTGGAGACAGTCTTGTGGAGGGCCAGGAGTTAGACGTGATGATCCTGATGGATTCCCTCCAGCTTAGCATATTCTAGAATTCTGTGATTTAGTTTTACTAGCATTTTTTTTAGTACCTTTAACAAACAAGTTAGCAACTTAAATAAAACCAAAACAACAGTTCTCTTAAATTACATCTACCTTACTCATCTACATCTTTTCCAACCACTCTTTTATTACTCTGTACAGTGAAAAGGTTCAAAGACAGATAGTAAGGCCTTTTCCCTCTTCCTGTAACATGCATAATAAAATATAACCTTAGAGAATTAGGCCTTGAAAGTCCTCAAAATTATCATCTCCTTCTGTTGTTTACTTGATGGTAGGTTAAATTTAATACAGCTAAAGCAAATTTTCCAAGTCTTGCGTTTTCTATTTACCGTTTATCTAGACTTTCTATTTTTATAATACACTGCCTAAAATCATTCTCTGTAAGCATGCTTTCATTTCATCTTTCAAATTATTAACAGAACTTAAACGAAAACTAACTCAGGGACATACTATCAGAACTCAGGAGATCATGCAACAAGTCATTACCTACAAGTACCTTCCACAACTTAAGAATCCCATCTTCTCTTGGGCGTTAGGTTTCTTTCCTTTTGTTCCTTTTTACTTAGGGACATTTTTCCCAGAAGTTGCTAGGAAACACTAACGACCGGGCACTTAAGAAAAACAAAAGAAGTAACCAAGCTCAGGGGAAGACGGCGTCTGGTTGCACTTCTCTTATCTGGGAGTTTCTCTTCTCACCGCGGGGCAGAGACACCTCGAGAATCAGGCTGATAAAAGAAGCGGCTGGGGCACCTGTAGCATCCCTACACATGCGCTCTCTCTCGGCTTTGGAGGAGGAGGGCTGGAGCTGCTGCTTGGGGGAGGGAATTCGCTGCTGCTGCCGGAGCCCAGCCCCGAGCTGCTGCTTCTGCTGTGGGGTGAGCCTGTGCTCGTGAGAGCAGCCACTGAACTGGGACCTTATTCACCTACCTCACTAAAAGAGGGACCTATCACTCTCTGCTGGGGCGCCCGGGATCCTGAGCTCGCCTCTCCCTGCCCTGCTGGATCCGGGCCGCCGCTGTCCCGGCCCCGCTGCTGCTTCGGCACCGCTCCGAGCTTTCATTGCACTGCAGCCTCGCACCCCCTGCCTGCCGAGATATCCTGCTGCTCCAGCTGGCTGCTTCCGAGAGTCCTGCAGGGACACCGGGACCGACACTGCCCCGGGTTTGTGAACCAAAGCCTCTCTTCCATCCCTTCCCGTCTGGGCCCAGCCGCCATCACGGCGCGCTGCCCGAGCCCCGCGCACAGCGCCCCCTGCAGGCCGTGCCCGGAACTGCCCCCAGGGAAAGGCCCGCGGCCGAGAGGAGCCGTCCCTGCGCTCCGGGCGGCACTCGGGGGGGCTTTGTTCGCTTCACTGTACACACCGGTAAAGAACTGTGATTCCTAGTCTCATATCTCGGCCCGAGAGCCCCTTAGTTTCAAAATTATAGTAATTCAGAGGGAAGGGGTTTACATTTTCCATTCCAAGGGAGGCTCCTGCCTTCCCCAGCAGACATCAAACCAAGACATCTTCCTAACAAAAACTACCTCTGAGGGCACACGTACAGTTTATGACTTATATTCACAGCTCCCGTAAGTATCGGTTAAATTAAGACATGTTTTCATCTGTAGAAGTTTAGCTGACTGATGGAAACAGTATGTTTTCTGACAACTCTCTCACAATACTTGACCGTATTTAAGAAAAAAACTTCTGAAATATTAAGAGTTTTGTCCTCAGTTACAGATCCTTACGGAGCAAAAATGAAATGTTTTTTTTTAAAAAGCGCAGCGAATAAATGACGAAGTAACAACAATTTTCCAGACAGACAATCTGGTATACACAAGTACCTATAAACTCAACACATTTTACAAGTATAACTCAATACCTGCATCATCAACAGAAAAATTAACACAATGACCTTCAACAACAATTTTTCCATTTTGCCTTCACAAATTTTAATAGCAGGACACCTCTCAACCCTCAGACAATCAGCAGCTAAATGTGCCTTGTTTCTTTTAATAAGCAAAACAATCCAAGATGGAGGAGAATTCACTAGTTTTTTAAATCTGTTTCCTAAAAGATTACCAGTTCTACCGAGCTCATATTAGCATCAAATAGTGAGAAATCCCCTTTAAATAATTAAGATAAATTTTTATCATTTCAATCCATTAATGGCAGATACTTCTGCTGGGAAAAACCACGCTTTGGCAGAAATTCTGTAGGCAATCAGACATACTATGCTTCAGTAAAACTTGTGACTATCTA